ATATATATATATATATATATATAATTACTTGGAGTTACCTCCTGGCCAATAGGAACACTTACCTTACTTTTATATCTGTGGCACCCAACTCAATCTTAAACCCAGGCATTTTAGCCTTCACTGCATTATGTAGATCATGACACCTACTGGCAGCATAGGACTTTGCACCCTAGTTCCATAAGACACTGAAGCCCCTTGGTACCTAAAATAAGTAATTTCATATTTATGCTTATAGTATGAGTCAACATTAAACTTTACTGGAAAATTTATATCTTGGAGCATGACTATTCGTTTGGATAGGTTAAATTATGCTGGGCTAACAAACACTCCCTAAAACTCAGTGGCTTAAGTTAGCAAAGGTTTAATTCTCATACAGGCTACATGTCTACCAGAGATTTTTAGTGATGAAGAGTGCGAAGATTAAATTCTGCCTCCAACCCCACCATTAATTACTAGCCTAATGTCTTAAGGATATTTACTGATTCATTTGGGATATCTTTTCTTTTGTCATCAATCAGGGTCTTTCTGTGTTTGCAGCAGATCCACCCTACTTTAATTGTTACAACTTTGTAATACATTTACTATATCAGAAGACTTACCTCTTCCTCTTAATGTTCTGTTTAAAAAAAAAAAATTCTTTGTTATTATCACCTGATTATTTTTCCAGGAAAAGTTTAGTATTATTTTGTTAAATTATTCCAAATCACATTTGATTTTTATTTGAAGAGCATTAACCAACAATTAATTTGATCATAATGAATAATCTGTAAAATACTTAGCCTTCCCATATAAGTCCTTTATATCTCTCAAAAATATTGTAATGTTCTTCATATGTTAAATGTGTGTTTATTAAAATAGAACCTTGGAATTTTATATTTTTGTTGCAACAATGAGTAAAATTTCTTTATATACTTTTATTTCCACATTTGCTCTTTCCTACATAAGAGCATGCTATTGTTTTTGTATTTTCTCTTGTAGTAAAATAATTGTATACATTTTCCATGGGATGCCATTTTGGATTTTTAAAAAGTGAATCACTGTTCTTTATGTCTTGTACTGATATCTCTTAGCTCTGCGTCATGTCTTCTAACATTGCCCAAAGCCTTCTGATAAGGATGTTAGACATCATTGTTCACCTCCTCCACACCCCCACATTTAAACCCAGTCTCCCTTGGGTTTAAACATTAGAAAAGCATGATAATGACTATTTCTTAATCATGTCTATGGCATATTCTTTGCTCAACATGTTTTCAGTAATTGTAATTCTTGAATTTTTCTATGCCTTGCTCAAAAATTATGGTAATTATGATTTTCTTAATTGATCTAATAATTGAATGTATTATAATAAATTATGTAATACTGACTTTTTGCATTTCTGAAAAAATCCTATGTGATGATTTTTTAAATGTGGCATCAAGTTCTATTTCTAAGATTTATTTGTGATTTTATAAATTATATTTACTGTGAGATATGTTTATCACTTATAATTTTATTTGATATTTGCTAATAACTTTATTAGACATTTGCTTTATTCTATTTTTAAAATACTTGAATATATTTCTCTATTTTTAATTTTCTATTATTTAATTTTGTTACTTAATTCTTCCTTTATTGTAAATTTACGTTTGTTTGCATCCTTCATAATACATAGAAAAATATTTATACTTATGAATTCACCTTTGTACACAAGTTTTGATTTAACATTTTTCTATATTACTTTTTAATTTCTTCTTTGGCTCAATAGTTATTTAAAAAGGTGTTTTCAAATCTATGGGGATGAACCTTTGTTTTTAGTAACAGAAATATTTATATTTTTTGTTCTATTGTTAAAGGTTATTATGGTGAATGCTTTCGATTTCTTGAGATTACTTACTTTGCTTTGGGTATGGTATCAATTTTTTTTCTATGTTTTTTGCATATTTTACATAAAGAAAGTTACCAGTAATGCCAGTAACTGTGAAAAGATGGGATTTTGCTCTGCTTGATACCTAACAAGTTAGCTTCCATTGTTGTGTGAATGTTGGGAGAAGACAGGCAATTCAAGGGTCAGAGAGAGAATATTTTATTACTCACAGCAATAGCAATGGCTAAAGTATCATCATTTTCGTATCAGTTCCCCAGGCTGCAATTTCTACAAGATGAGGTGAAGAGGACTGGGTGACGCCTATAATCACAGTGCATATTTACAGGAGAGGAATCCTGAGCTTGGGAAACTTTTTTTTTAAGGCAACAAGCATGCCTGTCCTTTGTTCCAGAAGAAGACTGTCACTATCTTCCAAGACTCCAAGCAAGGTAGTTCTTTGCTTCTGATGGAGATTATCTCTCTTCCAAGGTTGTTTTCTATAAAATATATCCTTGGAAAGATGGTCTGCAACAGAGGAATTTAATTCTTCTGCTCGTACGAAGTGCAGATATGCAAGACACCCATGGAGAATGACCTTCCATCAGGGGAGTAGAGGATGAATGTATATATACAGATGTACACACACATATATATACACATTTGTGAGTATGTGAGACACAGTATCCTTTTATCATTATGTATTATGTATTATTTTTCCATACAAACAACCGTAAACCTACTTTTTCCCCANCGAGACACAGTATCCTTTTATCATTATGTATTAATTATGTATTATTTTTCCATACAAACAACCGTAAACCTACTTTTTCCCCACCCTGTATATATATATATATATATATATATATATCAATTCTGCCGAATTCCTTAGAATTGTTTTTGTCAGATCAATATAGACATTGATATAAAAATAGAGATATTTGTTATATCTCTCCATTCATCTATCAGAGTATTTCGATGTTTACCAGAATAGGTAATTAGATAGATGGATACATAGACAGAATTGTGTGTTTAAACTGTAATTTCCTAGGTTTTTAATAATTTTGTTTTATGTGTTTTAAGCAGTTTGGCTGTAGGTATCATTTCTCTTACTGTGTGTGATTTTTTCAATATATGACAGCTTTGTTTGGTTCCATTTGTATGAGTATGCCACCTCTGCTGTAATTATTTGCATTGTTGTTTAGATCTCAAAATATTTAGATCTCTCTTAAAATCACAGGACTGTTTTTATTCTCTTTTACAATAGGGGAATTTTAACTATATTCATTAATTTTGGTGGTCTGACAGATAATTTTGTTGTCTGTTTTCTGGTTGTTTGCATTTGACCTCTGTTCCACAGGCTATGTTGTTTACTTTTATCTTCTCAACAGTTTTAGAAAGCAGATTTCCTGTATTTAATCCTGTTGGTGGTTATCTCATCATTATTAAGATATATTCATAACTATTTGCTTTTTAATCAAAATAGCAACAGGAGCTCTTGTTTATTAATTGTGCTTCCTTTATCCATTTTTTCCCTTCCCAGTCTTTCATGATGTTTCATAATTAATCTGGCTATATGAAATTTGTCATTAATGTACCTATACATATTCCTCTTTCCAAGAAATTGGATTTTTAAGCTGTTGTATTTTTATTACCCTAACAAAGCCACTTAAAAAATTATTTTTTCGTTTTCAGTATTTTCTTTATTCTTTATACTACTATTTTGCAACAGCTGTTGGAACACTATGGCCATCAGTCAAAGGCCAAGAGAAATATTCCTAAATTCTCCAGTTTCTTTGTGCTTTGCAGTCAAGATGGAAGTGAATCAGAATTCTATTGGGTCTGGGCAGTGAACTCAAGGCCATGAAGCTAACCCCTCTGCAAGCAGGAGCAGAATGATGAAGAAGGAAGTGGGACTACGGGTTAGCCTCTGCAGATGCCTAATTCATGATGTGCTTCCAAGGGCCCTAGCAAAGATCTTTTATCTTTTCCCCTTATTTAAAGCTTCTATGCAGAGTGATTTCTGTTTCGATTCCCAACTTGTTCCCTTCTTTCCCCTCTCTACTTCCTTTTTTTTTTTTTTAATTTTTATATATCTTTATTGATTTCAGAGAGAGGGCAGCAGAGGGAGAGAGAGATAGAAACACCAATGATGAGAGAGTCATTGGGGATGGAGCCCACAACCCGGGCATGTGCCCTGACCGGGAATCGAACCCTGATCGCCTGGATCCTAGGTCGACGCTCAACCGCTGAGCCACGCCCGGCCGGGCGTCCCCTCTCTACTTCTTTACATGTCCCTCACTACAGGCCTCAAACTACATAGTTTAAATAAAGCATACTTTTAAAAGCCACCCAAGTGCATGGGAGTACTTGTCTCTGTCTACTCTTGCTGCCATAATAAAATATCATAGATTGGGTGGCTCAAACAAGAGAAATTTAATTTTCTCACAGTTCTAGTGCCTGGAAGAGATTAGGGTTCTAGCATGGTTGGGTTCTGGTGAAATTTTAGTATGTGTGCTTGGGGAGAGAGAGAGAGAGAGAGGGAGGGAGAGAGAGAGAACTCTCTTCTTTTATAAGGCCACCCATCGTATTGGATTGGGACCCTACCCTTATGGCTTCATTTAACCTTATTTCCTAAAGGTCCTATCTCCAAATACAGTCATATTGGGGGTTTGAGCTTCAACATATGAATAATATGGTGACCCTGGAGACCTTCATTTATGCTGTAGCCTGGGTCTAAGAGCCCTTCCACTTTTCCTTAAATGGCTGACTTGCCTTCCTCTTTCAATACTAGTTCAAGGCAATCCCCTCTAGAAAGCCTTGAGAGAATCCTAGGTGGAGCAGTGAGCTTTGCTGCTCTCTGGTCCTTCCTGTGAAAAGCTCTTCCTTGTTAGTTTTGGACTAGGGCCAGTTTTACCTTAAGCTCTTCAAGCCCAGGGCTGATTTCTTATTTACCCTGAGACTCTTAGTAACTTGGACAGTGTCCAGCGCAGAGTAAGGCTGTAATCAATGCTGGATAAACTTAAAGCACAGAGACTAGACCATCTATGTTGAATGAGGCACCTGGAAATCTTCGGGGAGACCGGAAGAGGAATGGCTGGCCGGGAGGGTGGGAGCGGTCCCCTGTAGGAGCAGGCACCTGAGCCCTGGGTGACTGAGCTCTGGATCTAGTGATTCACTACCAGGACTTCTCAGGCTGCAGGCAGGGGAGACACAAATTTGTACCAGATGATGACAGTCCAGGCCCCTTTCAGAAATAAACATTTTGTAAAATTAGAAAAAATTTGCCACAAAGGGTGCTAGTCTGCAGTGTGGCATCTGGGAAATTCTGCTGCATAGCTAAGTTGCCCGGAGGACATACACTTCATAAAGTGGTAGCAATCAGGATAACAAAACTGTCAGGGGTCTTTCAGGAATAACATTAATCTCCCCATGTAGTCTTTCTTCATAAAATCTCTTTGCAGTAAAGAAGGCCTGGTGGGGATATGCATGTCCTTTATAGATAAAATGGGGCAATCTGACCCTTAAATTTAGCTAGAAAATAATATGATAAATTTTTAATTTTAGTATGATCAAAAAGATTTGATGTGCCTTTTAAGAATATAAAGATGGGAGAATTATTACCAGCCTAATTATTTCCACCATTGTTTAGCATGCTATACATACCCATCATAGGAAAAGGAAAAGTTTTGGGGTCAAATCTTTTAGCCAGACTCTTTTCTCTTTTTCAGGAACATACCGTACCCAAACTACATTCTTTTCTGGTTTAAAAATAATGCTAGACCTTTGATCAACAGATTTTTCACAAGATGTTAAACATTTAGGGTGAAAGGAAATGTTCTTACATTCGCTTAACAGAACTGCTCTTTTAGTCAGTTTTGAATAAATTTATTTTTGAAGCCTGAACTGCTTGCTAATTTCCCAATTAGAAGCTCTTGTAATTGCCACATTAGCACCGTCTTCTTTTCCTTCCCTGCAATGCTATCCTACAACCTGGCTTCTGCAGCAACCTCCCTAACACTTCCGGTGGTGTGGCCCAGGCCACCTTCACCAGGTTTCCCCAGTGTGGCCGGATGGCAGTGGGGCTGCTGGTGTGTCAGGAAGCTCAAGCACCAGCAACATGAACCCTTGTGACCCTCGCTGCACACTCTCCCCCCGGAGTCTCCCTTTCCTAATTGATTCAGCTCCATTGTGAGCAACTTGGGTTAAAAACCCTGACCCTCTTTATCACCAGCTGAATGAAGAAGGCTTTACCGGGGCAGGACTTAGGCCTTTTTTTATTTCATTGATGAATTAAAGACTTAAATTGTTTTAATATAAGGTACCATAATCTTTTAAAAGTATACTTTAGTACTTTTATAGTTTTGTGTACTGCTATAAATATCTCATCTTGATTTTTTTTTCAAGCTGATTACCTTAAAAAAAAAACCCACAAAAACAACTCTCTATGGGAAAGGGAGAGAGATATTTGTCTGTATTATAGAGAAATAAAAAAAAAAAAAAAAGAACTATTAGTTTATGATTTCACAAATAAATCTCTGTATAAAATATAATTCCTAATTAACATCATTCATAAAGTTTTTTCAGAGGTGGTAAACCAAATGAATGTGTTGACTGCCACTTTTTTTTTAAAGATTTTTAAAAATTATTTTATTATTTTTTTTAGAGAGAGAGAGGAAGGCAGAAGGAGAGAGGGAAATATCGATGTGAGTATAACATCAGTGGGCTGCCTCCTGCATGCCCCCTACCGGGGATAAAGCCAGCAACCCAGGCAGGTGCCCTGACAAGGAATCAAACCGGCAAGCTTTTAGTGCATTGGATGACTCCCAACCAACTGAGCCACACAGACCAGAGCTTGACTGCTACTTTTACATTTACATAAGTTCTTTTGTTTCAGTACTTTTTTCTCAGAGCTGATATACTAAATAAATGTGAAGGCCTTTGGGTCAGAAGGCTGCTCTCAGTTCAGACATCTGTTTAAGCTAGACAATGAATTGGGTTTTGTTGACATAAGAAGAGTTCCAACTGTGCTTTTGGTTTTGCAAATCAAAAGCACCAACTTCTTCAAAAGTTTTTATCACAGTATTAGTTATGTGATGCTATTTTTTATAACACATCTGATTAATGATTTTGATAGTTTTCTAAATAGAGGAATAAAAAAAGATTCAGGTGCAAGTACGTATTTTTTTCTAAAGTGCTGTCGTAATGACAAAAGTCTAGAGTAGTTAGAAATATTTTAAACTATGAAGGGATGCCCTGGAAAAATTGCTTTTATTGACAACTAAGTTACTTATAGCAGTTCTGTTATTCAAAGCCCTATTCATTGCCTGTAAAAATCATTGTAGGTTAAAAATGGACTCACATTAGCGTCTCTATAGGTGTAGTTTTTTACATACTTAAAAAAAAGACTTGACTCTTTTCAAAATCCACTGACTACAAATACTCTAAAAATATGTACACTCAAAATGGTTATTCTGTGACATGAAATATGAGTTGTTAGGTATAATTATTTTAGA